AAAGGGGGAGGAGGGCGAGAGGAGAGCGAGCTCTTCAGGTGAAGGTAACAGCATAGACAGCTCACTGCCACGGAGTTGGCGCTGACTCTTGATGACTCTGTCGGACAGGGCAGAGCTGTCTCTGGGTTTCTAAGACGGTGGCTCTTCGTAGCAGCAGAGAGCCCCATGTTAACCCCTAGGAGCAACTGGTGTTTTTGAACTTCTGACCCTGTGATTAGCAGCCACCACTCCACCAGGGCTCCTCTAGCATAGACAATAGGAGAAGGGATAGGAAAAATGCAGGCAGTTTTCAGAGAACCCTGCTGTGGTTGTGCTTATAATGGGTTGGTGGCAGCAAGCAACTTGTGGGCCAGAGATGAGGCCAGAAGAGACTGGAGGTTCGGTGATCCTGCAGTGATGGGGCTGAGCTTAGTCACGCTGCCTTTGTTCTTACTGAGAACAGCTTACGTTTTCTTTTTAAACAATGGAACCCTTTCTCAAACTACAGTTTAAACCAATTTCCAAATTGCAAAATCTACATTTTATCATTTTGGGTTTTTTAAAGCAAAGATGTATATTTCAGGGTTGGTTTTTGTTGTTTTAAAATTTTTTTTAGAAGCACAGTTACCTGCACAGTAGAGGTGAGAGTATGGCTTTTTGTCCCTGAATGGAAATGACCCAAGAAGACCTTCTCATCCTGTGGGTGTTGAGCCATTCCTGCGACCCGGTCGGGTTGGCCATGCCGTTGTAGTGGTGGAGTGGCTGCATGTGAGCACTGGTAATGGGAGGGGCTGTAGCACCTGGATGGGCATCCGCAGGAGAGCGAGTGGCAAAGTTCTGGGAAATCAACCACTGGGTGACTTTGCAGGAACTTTTGGTTGATCCCACAGGCAAGGCACATGAGGAAAAGAGAGGTCATTGTAGTTCTTAGTCTGCAAAGATAACTGCGCATGTCATGAAGTGGCAGCTCTAAATCTCCTTTTTGTAGCACAGGAAGGAGTTTTTTTTTCTGTATTCATTGAGCAAATATTTATTGAGTGTACCGGCTGTGAGCTGGGCCTTACATACTAAGTGCAGGAAATACAGTGGTTAGTGAAACACTCCAGGTCCTTAGTCTTAAGGAACTCAAGGAGGGAGACTGACATTAAGCAAATCATTGCACACACACATACTTACAAATCAGGGTGAGTGCTGAGTGTTTGGTACAAGGACCCCCATTTAGATTGGAGGATCAAAAAAGGCCTTTGGGAGGAGGTGAGAGTCAAGCTGAAGCAAGATGAGAGGCCATCTTTTGGGAACTGATCAGAAGGAGAAGGCAGGAAGTGGGCTGAGAGGAAGCTGGAGACAGGCCTTGTAGGGAAGACCTGGAGAGGACTTGGGTTTTATCCGAAGTGCAGTGGGTTAAACAGGAAGTGACGTGATCTGATTGAATTTGTGAGGGCAAGGGTGGCTACCGACAGTGCGAGCACTGTGGAGGCTTGTACAGTAATTAAGATGAGAGATTGAACGGAAGTATGGAACGGTGGACAGAGAGATATGTTTCAGGAGTAGAATTATCTGGAGTTGGTTAATGGATTGGATGTGTGGAGAGAGTGGAGAGACTCAGAATCCACATGCATGACCAGGACTGGCTTCTGCTGCTTTCAGCTCCTCCCTCCCCGTGAAAGAGCTCAAAGCAGACTCTGGTTGTCCCATTAGTGGGACCCCTTGGCTTTGCTCCAGCTCATCGAGGACTGGCCGGAGGAGCCGCTGTAACTGCGGGGCACCACTAGGGGGGGAGCATGGCCTGCACTCTGTCTGGTCTGGAGGCTTTCTGAGGTTTGGGCTACTTTTGAGAAGGGTAACTCCCCACTGCTTTGCAGCGTACTCACCGCCTTAGGGATCGGATCAATCAATGTTAGCAGCCCGTAGTCCTGTAGCCGCGATGGGTATTGTACTGTAGAAGTGAGCCGGCTTGGCCGCTTTTCAGCGCAGAGGCTGGGCAGGTGGAATGTGCATTGTGAGGGTCAGCAGAAAAGCTGAGGGAAACTTGGGATTTGGTGACTCTGTGGTCGGGAGCAGGCAGGGGAGAAGCTTGGAGATTTGGATTTGCATTTGCCCTTCCATCCTATCTTCCTCTGTCGACCTGGGACACTCGAATCCACCCGGGAGGGATTCCTGAGCTGAGGCTTGAGCACACACGCGCGTGTCCCCTTTGAAGCCCTGGTTGCAGCACTAAAGCAACAGCACCCAGGCATTTGGAAAGGAGCTACACCGGGGAAGTATTGAGCCCTCTATGCGAGCCGGTGTCCTCATCTTGTCTGGGGACTAGCTGCCCGGGCATTTCTTCCTTCCTTCCTTCTGGTGGTGCTTGAAGAGCAGTTGAGAAAAATGAATGAAGGTGTTCTTTGCTCAGTGACTGCCCTTGGAGTCCTTTCACCGGCACCCTCTCTTCCTGTGCTCCTCTAAACCTTCTGAGTTGTTCAAGGGAGAAGATTTAGACCCATGGAAACTGGGAGGTTAAGTGACTTGTCCAAGGCCACATGGCTCCAGGGGAGGGGTGAGGAACTGTCAAGGTCATGTACCCTGTTCTGCCTGGGGCACTCTCCAGGACTCTCTGGAAGAGCCTGGGAGGCTTCCATGCGATTTCTAGACCTGTGACTTTCTGGTTCTGTGAAGTGAAGCAAATGGTTCGATCTCTGAGAGGTTTTAAATGTGTCACGTTAAGTATGAAAATGTCAGTCTAGAAGCGAGCCAGTCAGGCAGGGTGCAGTGTAGCAATGATGAAACATACAACTTTCCTCTAGTTCTTAAATGTTTCCTCCCTCCCACTATCATGATCCTAATTCTACCTTACAAATCAGGCTAGACCAGAGGATGTACACTGGTACAGATAGGAACTGGAAACACAGGGAATCCAGAACAGATGATCCCTTCAGGACCAGTGGTGAAAGTGGCGATACCAGGAGGGTAGAGGGATGGTGGGATAGAAAGGGGGAACTGATCAAAAGGATCTACATATAACCTCCTCCCTGGGGGATGGACAACAGAAAAGTGGGTTAAGGGAGACGTTGGACAGTGTAAGACATGACAAAATAATAATAATTTATAAATTATCAAGGGTAAATGAGGGAGGGGGCACCGGGGAGGGAGGAGAAAAATGAGGAGCTGATACCAAGGGCTCAAGTAGAAAGCAAGTGTTTTGAGAATGATGAGGGCAACAAATGTACAGATGTGCTTGACACAGTGGATGCATGTATGGATTGTGATGAGTTGTATGAGCCCCTAATAAAATTGTTTTTTTTTTTTTTAAATGTCAGTCTAAACTTCCAGGTCAATTGTGCTGAGCAAACAAGCCAAGATTTATCCTACTACATTGGAAAAGTGTGCAGTAATATGTAGCTACCGGTAAAGGTTTTCCCCACATCGTTATGTTCAGGCCAAGAGAACCTGCCAGTCTGGGCTGCATGACCGGAAAGACCGCACCTTCTCCTGGGAGTCCGAGATTGTATCTTACAACTTGTTATCAAAAAGCTGTGTGTTTTCCAAGGGCAGATGAGAGTGTACTGTAAGGGAAAGTTCTGTACTGGCTTCAGGGGGTCACTGACCTGGCCTCTCTACTCATTGTCCTCTGCCTGCCTAACTAGCTGTATAAACTGTGGCCCCCCACAACTGATCTCCCAGTTTTCCCATCTATAAAATGGCAATAGTGAAGCATCCAGTGTGTTCATAGATGACGAAGATACGACGAATAACGCATGTTAAAAGAATGTTACAGAATAGAAGTATACAACTCATTTCCAAGGGAATTTCACCATGGTGTGTGTGGGGGAATGCTCTAAGATTGATGTGGTGCTGAATGGACAATTGCCCCTTGATAGGATCGAACTATTGTATGATATGTAAATTATGTGCCAATAAAGCTGTTAGGGAAAACACAGAAGTGTACTTGTCCTCGTCAGACACCACGGAGTCAATTCCGACTCATAGCTCTCTGGTGGACAACAGATATACTTGTACCACTCTGATCATTGTTGTGTTTGAGCCCATTGTTGCCGCCACTGTGTCAGTCCATCTCCTGGAGGGTCCTCCTCTATGCTGCGGCACCTGTGGGCACTAAACTCAGAGCACCCGACCAAGTGGTCCCAGGCTGTGTACTAGCCCTTGGAGAGCAGGGTGACAGCAGTTCACAGGAAAGCTGTAGTTGTAGGCACTCAGCAGGGTTGTGTCTGTTGCCTGGACTATGACTCTGAACTTGCCTAAGACTCTTTATTTGTCCTGATCTCGTCTCTCCCCCCCCCCCCCCACGGTTCCAGAAAGATGAGAGCGTGCCTGGACACCAGCCCTAGTGCCATGAGTCCCTGCGCTGGTTAGAGCCATCTCCACGGCCGGCCCTGTTAGGCGGGAAGGTAAGCAGGGAGACCAGTCCAGGCGAGCTCCTGGGATGTGAGTGAGCTTCCGTCCCCCGGAAAACCCCAAATGCACAAACAAGTCGAGGCACTGCCTCTGAGTCCCTCTTGCCCCCTTTCCACCCTCTGCTCCCTCCTCCCCCCTAGTTCCAGGACCCAGAGGAAGGGCTTGCTTCCCTCCAAGCACTCCAGCTAACTTACCAACCCCACCCCTACCCCCACCCCCCAGCTCTTCCAAGGCATCAAACAAGGAGACACTAAAACAAGTCCGCTCACTGTCTTCTCCCTTCTTCCTCTGAGCTGTTCCAGCAAGTTCCCAGGAGCGGCCCAGAGCCCCTATTTGAGTGGAAGGGAGGTAGGAGGCGTGGAATGCAGCAAAAACTGTGCTGATCAAAAGGCAGTGCTGTTTCATGGAAGCCTCCCAGAACTGAGTGAGAAGAGAAAGGAGAGAGAGAGAGAGACAGAGAGAGATTGTTGGGAGGAGGAAGTTGGGGTAATAGGGGAGAGAGACAGAGGGAGATGGCTCGGGTGGGGAAGTGAGAGAGTCAGCCCAGTGAGGGAGCGCCTGGAAGGAGAGAGAGCGAGGAGAGGTTGGGAGGCTGGCGGTGGAGAGCAGGGTCTCCATGACAACCGGCCTGGCCGGCTAGCCGCTCGCCCTGCTCAGTTGGCTCAGAGGAGCTCTGCGGAAGGTCAGAGGAAGGAGCTGTGGGAAGCACTCAGCAGGTATCGCAGCCGAAGCCAGTGGGTTTGGGGGCCCGGGGCTCCCCATCGGACTGCGTTGGGAGCCAGATTCAGCTGAGAATGGAGTGGGCAGGGAGGCACCAGGACCTTCAGGTAAGGGCAGCCCCAGCTCACAGTGGCTCTCCCTCCTTTCCTGGCTGTTTTCCTGGGAGGCAAGCGAGTGAGTGTCTGCACGGCGCTCAGGGTTTGGGGCTCTGCAATGATGTCATGCTCGACAGTTGGAGTCTATTAGCTTACGGAGGGAAACGGTCAGTTTTCTTGACTGTGCAGATCGAGCTGATCTCCCTCTGGCTGGGTCTGAGGTGTTGTTTTTGTCTTCACCATAGAAATCATCCTCTTGCTTTTATTCGGTACGAGGGCACCGGTGTTGTCCCAGCCTTTGCTACAGAGAAAATACATTCCCTTCCCTTCAGCATCGTGTTTGTGGCTCTTGAAACTTCCTTGTCTTTTGAGTGATTCGCTTTGACCTCGAGAACACTGTTTTGTCTCCTGGTGCTGCTATGTCTGACCTGTAGTGAAGAAACGCCCGTACACACACACACACACACACACACACAGTTTATTAAGCTTAGGGAGGCACCTACTGCCAGTTTGGGTCCCTTTGGAGAGTTACTAGGATGGGGAGAATATTGTAGGAATATCTGTGCTGGGGGGTCTCCCCAGCCAGGTAGCTTGGTAAAGGGCAGAGGGTGTTCCTTGGTTAATAAGGTTGATCACAGACTTTCCTAAGAGATAAATGGCCTGGGGAAGGAGATGGCTTGGGCTGGGGGACCTGCAAAGAGCTGCTTCTCCAGATGTTTCAGCCTGAGCGCTCTCTGACAGCTGCTAAGAGCTACGGAGCCCCAGGAGCTAGGAAATAGTGTAGCTGAGCCTGGCGAATCCTTTCGGTGACTATTGCAACCAAATTTCAGGGCCCACAAGCGGCCACGTGTGTCCTCCGTCTGCTCTGCTGGTGCTTTGCTTTGGGACGAAAACTTGTGCTGATTCGGGGGAGAGGTGGGGATAGATGTGCAGTCGGGGACACAGGGCCCGGCGGTGGGGGTGAGCACAGTTCAGTGTGTGCCTAGGAGAAGGACTCTTGGCAGGAATGCTGGCTTGGCAGCAGCGTGATTAGGACGAACTCAGAGCACACCTCCCACCCTGGTGGCTCGTGAGGCAATCTGCTTCTGCTTCAGCCATGTTACGTCTTAAGCGGCCCCTGACCCTCAGCAGACTGTGGATGCCTTTGGTTTCTCTGTGGGCTGAGGGAACAGCTGTGATCCTGGCTCTTTGGTTTTTCTTCTTGAACTTTCTGAACAGAATGCCTTCTGTATTTTGGCAAACAATGGGGGGGGAGGGGGCTTGATGCACTCTGGGTCAGCTTGCCAATGCAAGCATTGGCCATGTCCCCAGTGCTGGCTCCCTGGATATGTACATGTTGGTGCCTGTGTTGTGGCCTGAGGGGCCACTAGGGTGAGCTCAGTGGCCCAGGGTCTCAGATGGACCCCTTCAAGAGAGATGCTCCCTTTCACTGTATTCCAGGGAGCCTCTGCTGGGTGGAAGTCTCGGTACTTGTGGGGAGAGGTGACGTAGCACTGTGGGTCAGGACCAGATTTGGGGGTATTGCGAGGAGGTAGGAGGAGCCTGTGAACTCCTCTGTGGGTGATGTAAATGCGGGTTACCATCTTCTCTACTCTTGTGTGCTGTGTTGGCAGAGTGGGTTGTGTGGGGGGCTTCTAGCTGCAAGGTCAGCGGTGCAGAAAGCCCTCCAGCTATTGCTCTATAGGAGAAAGATGAAGCTCTTCGTTCCCATAAAGATTTGCAGCGGGACCTTATAGATGGTTGCTCCGAGTCGGAATTTACTCTGTGGAAGTGGGTTTTGGATACATTGGAAGAGAGCTAAACAGAAAGCCAGTTCCAAGAGGCGGGTTGAAAAAGCAATGGATTGTTTTTGAGGTTTTTTTGCATTTTATTTATTTATTTTTAAATCAATTTATTGAGGCTCATACAATTCATCACAATACATAGATCAATTGTGCAAAGCACATCTATACATTTGTTGCCCTCATTATTCCCAAGCAATGGATTGTTAATTGGGGTAGAGACGTAAGCCCCATGGCCAGGCCTTGCCCTGTGTCTTCTGGGGTGGCCGTGAACAAGTCTCATAACCTACACGCGCTCCAGCTGTCTTAGCTGGGAGATGAAGATGATGATAGTACTGCTTCACGGGACCGTGGGGAGGAGCCAGTGCCATTATTTCCTTTGAAGTCGCTCTAAACAAGTCAAGCCCTCTGTGCTGTGATCTGAATTAATGCTGAAGGGAAGATGCCGGTCAATTTTTTCCTTCTCTTCTGGCTTCTCTACTTAAAAAGTGCCCTCTTCTGCATTTGTAAATAAAGACGAGAAAAACCCTAAAGGACTTCTTCTTCAAGATGTTACGGGAAACACACAGTGCTTTCTTTGGGCTTGAAAGTAGACCACGGAGCAGGAACATGCTCAGTGTTCTTTCAGATAGGCTTTCCCTACGTTACCTGACTGATGCATGTGTTTTAGGGGCCACGCGGGACTCTAGGCCTCTCTGCTTCTCCCGAATTCCACAGCTGCCCAGTCATGGTGTGTCCTACATGGTACTAGCTCTGGGTGCTGGGGCGGGTTCTCTCAGCCTGCTGGGTTCTGCTGGGATGGCAGAGGGGCCTTTTCTTCCATTCTGGGTTTAAGCCATAGGGAGAATGAACACACCTCCCACTTACAGGCCCCCCTGGGAAGTACACGTGGATTCAGTGCGCAGTGCATCCCCTCTGACTGCAGACCAGGGATGTGAGCAGCCTTGCTGTCGTGCCGAGTGCGTGCATTGGACAATGGATGGGGTGAATGCACGGGGTTAAAATTGAACACTTTATCACTCAATCTCCCTTTGGACCTGTTTTAAAGTTGTTCTAGTTTTTAATGTTTTCTGCTTTCTTTTCTATTGAGGGTTTTCTCTGTTTCATGTTGCTGCTGCTGTTAGCTTGTTTGTTTGTTGTATGTATTTCAGTGTAAGAAATCCAGGATGGGTGGATCTGTAGCGATCATGACGAGATCAATGGTTTCTTGATACGGCAGGAGCGACAGTGTGGGCGGTGGTGGAGGGGGAGCCGAAAACAAGGAACACAAGAAAGGAGAACCTGTTCAAAAATTGATTGTGGTGATGATTGTCCGACTCTTCTTGATCATGTTGAACCATTGAATTGTACGATATGCAGGTTATGTCCCAATCAAACGGTTTAAAAAAAGATTCCTTGGGGGCTGGACAGCTCTTTCAGGAACCTGCATTGCTGGCGCTGGGGAGCAAAAAGGAGAGAGAGGAGGAGGAGGTGGGAATCCCAAGGGCAGAGACACCTGATAGGGTGCCATGGATCTGTGCCAAGAAACAGAAGGAAGGGAGGGGAGACTCCACACAAGGGCATCCTGGCAGTGCCCTCACGGAATCGTAGGACTGGGGTGCCCCACCCACAGGCTCGGCCTTTGTTGTGCAATAGGGAAAAACCTGTTAGCCATGCCCTGCAGTGGTGTCTGGGAAGAAACTCCTGAGCGGCCCAGAGTGGCAGATTTTCTTCTTTGTTACCACAGGGCGCTCCTTCCAGGTGAGTCATGTCACAGCAGCCTGTAAGGCCCAAAGAGGGATTTGTCCATAACTCAGATCGGAGCTGCAGCTGTTCCCCACTCCCCGGCAGCCAGTCCCGCTTCCCAGAGCTGACTCACAAATTGGATCCTTCTATGCTCCTTAAGGATTAAACAGCAAAGTAACATGCCTGTTCCTACTCCCTCTCTTCTCTCCTTCCGGCACACTCTTCCCAGGGGGTGGGGGGCGCTCCCCTTCTCTAAAATTAGAGTCATCAGACACTCCAAAGGAAGTTGGAACTTTGAAATACTTTAAAAGACCAGCTCAGGGCATCCTTAATGCTGCTGGCCCTCCCCCATCCCTAGCATGAGGGTTGGCTTGTAGGCATGGGCAATTTGGCCAGGCGGACAGGGAGGGGCGCAGACTCCAAATATTATGGCCAAACTGCTGACCTGGGATGGAAAGAGGCTGTGGACCACCCCCCATCTCTGGAGAACTCGCCTGACTCTTAAGAACGACGTGGGGGAGGCCCACCTGACACCTGCGGGAAGGTGGGGTCTGAGTTCTGGGCCTCCCGCTTTCCTGCTGCTTCTCTTTGCTGTTAGCTGTCTTGCCGTGACGCCTTCTGGTTCCACTGCCGGGACTGGGAGCATGTGCGTCGAGGCAGCCAAGCCCAAAGAGCACAGACTGCACTTGGAGCAGGACAAGCAGCAGCCTGCGGTGACCCTCTGTGGCTTCAGAGGGTGGGGACATTGAGAGCAGGCTGCGGGGAGGGGAAGAGGCAATCTTCAGGCAGTTAATTGAATTCTTTGAGTTGGAGGGACTCTAGAAAGTGGCGAACGGGCCGAGAAGGAGGGAAAAATGACCATCTGGCCTGGTCTGCGGAGATTTCTCTTCAAAGCCTGTGGGAAAATGAGCATTAGGATGTGTCGGGGCTGGGAGGGGACACTATGTGTGCATCTGTCTCAGTAGGGGGTGATGCTCGGTACATCTGTCTTGGCCGAATACTGTTTTGTTGATTGGAAAACATGGAGTCTCCGGATCTAGTTGTAGATTCTAGAAAATGTGTGCTCTCCTGCAAACCCATTTCCATGATAAGACCACGTAAGAAGAATCTAGATCATTAAGAAACTGGAGTGGTTTCACGGGGAAGCAAGCAAGCAAGCAAGCAAGCAAGCAAAGGAACCATGACCCTTAGACACAAGTCGGCTTTGGTTCAGAAGACTCAGCGGCTTGATTGTAGAAAAGGTGTATCTGATTCACCCTTTCCTGGGCGGTGCAATCCTACATCCCAGCAGCTGTTTTTAGAAGTGCCTTGTGATAATTTCAACAGCCCTAAGCTATAGTATATTCAGTTTATTAGAGTGTGTGTGTGTGTGTGTGTGTGTGTGTGTGTAGTGAGGGCAGAGGAGGGTGGTAAATGAGTCTGGACTACCTTACTGAAGAATTTCTCCCAAGATTCCATCTTTTATTTTCTTTGGCTCTAATAAACTGAATATACTATAGCTTAGGG